ATCATATATGGAATCTTCTGTTCCTTACTTAATTGAGTATCATATTCTATTGCTAAATACTTGGCATTTACAGCGGTTACCTGAAAGAAAAAAAAGTTTTAGAACGGCAACATAAGAGAGTGAGAGTCAGCAAAATGACCTCCTCTGTCAATTCTGGATGAAGTGATAAAAGTAAGTGATTAACTACAGCATGACTACCCAAGCATGGTTCACCATTTTCGTCGACGGATTTTGTTAGAGTGAAGTCGAAGTCGGATATGACCTTGAAGAAAGAAATAAGGCAAATAAAAATGATTGGTGGAAGGGTTAGTACCGCTAGCTGCTCCTTTCCTCCTTCGAGAATAGCGTTCAACTTCTCTTTTACTGCACTCTTGCTTCGTACTCGTACACTCGGATGGCTCAAAATCGCCTCAACGGTCATTACTTCTCTCTAGATCATTGAAAGCGACGATTACATGATAAACTTGAATAGCTTGAGTACTCGAGAACGATAGTATGAAGTTAGATAAATGTGCTTTCAGTTCATTCCTTACAATAGCCTGAGAAAAGGACATTCACCATAAAATTTACAAATACGTCGAGTAAGTTCGCTAATTCTGCATAAAAAAGACATAATTGGATTGGATGTTTTGATAGAAAATGTTGCCTACTATTGAAACTGGATTCCAAAAGGCTTTATCAATTGTGAGACAACACTCAGTGCTAACCTCTTCATTCCACCTTAAGCAGTCAAATGTAAAGATTCACGTTTTTTTGTTCATTATCCTACATACTGGGACGCACACCTTTTATACATCGACAGAGAATCGTAATCATGATAATCAGGATTTTTCGCGGCAGAAAAATCACATAAAAAGTAATCGTCCAGAGTTTACATTAGTGGAATATAGAACTAAAGTCAGAATTGTAATCGATTCCGTGCCTTTCAACTGTCTCCGCCTTTTTCAACATTATGCTAATCACAGAATAGATCTGTAGACGGGCATTCTTCAGTTCAAAAAATTTCAGAGACAATCAAAGTTCAAAAAATTCCAGAGACAAACATAACTAATCCTTTTCTACTTGATTGACCTATATTTATCCACATTATTTAATAGCAAACGAATGAAAAGCAGATATGCACAAAAAGAAGAATGCCACTCAGACAAGTAGATAAAGCAATTTCCAGGCTTCAATGTAACACATGCATACACATCCAAACCAAGTTTTATATCAAAAAATAAAGCATCAAGTTTCAAAGTCAAAAACCGAAAACTCTGCACCAGTCTAATGAAATAACAATAATAAGGGTTACAATAGCGAAAAGAGAGAAAACAATTGAAGGAAAAGTGGTTCTATATATATAAGTGTGATACTTCGTTTACCATACAAATAAACTATCTCAAAAACGAGATGGTCAGTGAGCATTCTCAGGAATATGGATATCTTCGCCTAATATGAATGCTACGAATATGTAACAATTTAATGAACTAACTGATCAGCCGAGTCAATATACCCATTAAGTAATGCGCCTGGTAATGTGATAAACCCGCATATAGGGACATTTATGCTACGAGTCTCAAAGGTAAGACAATATTTTTATGAAAGCAAGTTGCGAACAAACATACATCAGCAGAAATCATATGAGGCTCGCAGGTCCCTAAAACTCTCAAAACTCGTTCGCGGGACGTTCTCAGAAGTCTTTCTGAAAAAAAAGGAGTAGCCAGTTATAAAAGGAAGGAGCACCTTGGAACAGTGGCACTTTACCTAAAAAACAAAACAGCAGCCTTCATGTCTTCTTCCTTGCTCATACTTTTCATCTGCTGTTCAAAAATCATCAAAGGGGGTTCGATGAACTTGCGTTTACGTTCGACCACCTTCTGTAACCA